TATATATATACATACATACATATATGACTAAATGTTACATAGGAGATATAGGAGATGACAGTTTCCAACACCATAAACAATATGGAACCACTTTTATTAATCCTGGAAACTTGTATCTTTCATCCGTGGATGAATGGACAGGTCAACTCAGATGCTCCTTTTCCTAAAGTTGGCAATGCCCATAACTCTGACAACTCACCACTCAGTTGTTGAGAAGAAGAAACTCATTTTAATCTTTCAAGAGAGAAAATGACCCCTTCATCTTATCATTTATCCCTGGGTATAGAAGCAACATGATTTTAAACCTGCTTAGTTCTAATCCTGGCCAGAATATTACTGGACAGGCGTGCTAGATTTCCTACATCCTAACCCCGGAGGTTTTGTAGGGTACGTACTAGGCTGTTAACTGCACGGTCAGCAGTTCAAATCCACCAACTGTTCCTTGGGAGAAAGATAAGACTTTCTGCAATTGTAAAGATTCATAACCTCTGAAACCCTATACAGGGTTTATCAGTAACAACAATAGGTAGAATTAAGGATATGGATCCAAATTAATTGGATGACAATGGGCTTTGTTTTTTACAATATACTCATATCAGAGTCCTGGGTGATACAAATGACTTAAGTGCTTGGTAAGGTTTGACAATTAGCCAAAAGATTGGCAGTTCAGGCACCCCCAGAGGCACCTCAGAAATTAAGTCTTGTGATCTGCTTCCAAAAGATCCCAGCCTTGAAAATCCTATGGATCAGTTCTACTCTGCACACATAGGGTCACCAGGAATCAGAATAAATTTGATGGAAACTAACAACAACATGCTTGTGACAAATTGCTAATCTATCTGGGCACTTTTGATTACAGAATCTGGACAGTCTCAGAATCTATTCCATCGTAGTACTCAAGACAACTGCCACTAATCCATAATAATCAATTACTGTGTAGATGGATGGATAGATAGATAGATAGATAGATAGATAGATAGATAGATAGATAGATAGATAGATAGATGTATGTCAGGTACTGTACTAAGCATGTTACATATATTACTTTAATTATTACTCCATGATGTTTTGCAGCTGATGAGACTGAGAATCAAAGAAAGTAAGAAACTGGCTCCAGGTCATAACACTTAAAAAACAGCTGAACCAAGATTCAGATACATTTATACTTTTCTCCCCAAATCTCATAATTAACCATTGTATTTTAATTCTCGGCACTACTGGTGACATTTCATTGCCATTCCTGTGAGATATTAGGCAATCAAGTTAGCATGACAGGAAAGAAAAAGCGAAGTGCCAGGTTATCAGTACAGATTATTTTGTAGAAGTCAAGAAGGTGAACCAAAAGAAGGACTCGACACAACTGTAGACACAGAAGAATGTCATCAGACAACAGAGAAAGGAAGAGCCATGGAGAGCCTAGAAAAGGTAATGAAGCAATCTGAAGAAAGAAAGGATTCATCTATCAGCAGCAACAGAAAAATGGAATGAGAGGAAAATTGTGTTAAAGTTAATAAATCAGAATAGAGGCTGTTGTTAAGTGCCATGAGTCAGTTCCAACTCATAGTAACCCTATGGGTATAGGGCTTCTGAGGAGTTTGAACCACCAAATTTGCAGTTCAAGCTAACCTTGCAATCTAGTGTATTATCCTACAGCACCATACTAGGACTCCAGAAAAGGCATTGTTGTTGTCAAGTGCCATTGAGTCGCTTCCGACCCATGACGGCCCTGTATAGGGTTTCCAAGGAGCAGCTAGCTGGTGAGCTTGAACTGCCAACCTTGTGGTTCAAGCCGATTTTGCAGTCCAGTGCATTAACCTGCAGCGCTACACCAGGACTCCAGAAAAGGCATTAACAACCTGGAAATACAAACCTATCTGGAAATATAAGCCTATAATAAAAATCCATGAGCTCTAATTGCTGTATAGGCGTTATGATTGTTGTTAAGTGCTGTCGAGTTGGTTGTGACTCATAGTAACCCTGTAGAGGGTTTCCAAGGAGCAGCAGGTGGGTTCGAATTGTCGACCTTGTGGTTTGAAGTCCAGTGTTGATCCTACAGCACAACACCAGAATCCATTTGTTATGATAGCACTATAATTATAGGATATGTGCAATTGGTCTGGGCGAAAAAAAAAAAAAAATGTTAGGTGCTCTTAAGTCAGTTCCGATTCATAGTGACCTTATGCACAACAGAATGAAACCCTGCTCGATCCTGCACTATTCTCACAATTGTTACACTTGAGCTCATTGCTGATGCCACTGTGTCAATCTATACACTCTGGGGTCTTCCTTTTTTTTTGCTTATCTTCCATTTTATCAAGCATAATGTCCTTCTCCAGGGACTGAGTCCTACTGATAACATGTCCAAAATATGAAAGCTGAAGTCTGCCCATCCTGGTTCTAGGGAGCATTCTGGCTGTACTTTTTCCAACACAGATTTGACTGTTCTTCTGGCACTTTGTGGTACTTTTAATATTTTTCTCCAGGACTATAACTCAAATGGAGTCCTGGTGTGGTGCTGTGGATAATGAACAGGACTGCAAACTCGGTTTGAACTGCAAGGTCAGCAGTTCAAGCTCACCAGCTAGTCTTCGAAAACCATAGACCTATGGGTCCAAACCAACACAAAGGCACTTAACAACAAGAACAGCATTACTCAAATGCATTAATTCTTCTACAGTCTTCCTTATTTATTCTCCAGCTTTCACATGCATGGGTTGGGTCAGGCCCACCTTAGTCCTCAGATTGACACCTTTGCTTTTCAACATTTTGAAGAGATCTTGTGCAGCGCATTTTCCTGCTACAATACGTTGTTTGAATACTTGGCTATTGCTTCCATGATTGTTGATAGTAAAAAAATTAGGACAATCAAAATATGTATATAGGTATAACATTATCATTGACAATTTGAATTGTTATTATTGTCTTTGATGTTGGTTTTGTTTATAGTCAGAAAGGGAAAGTCCTCACATTGTAGGATAAACACTGGATGGCAAGGTCAGTTTGAATGACAAGGTTGGCAGTTCAAACTCACCAGCTGCTCCTTAGAAACCCTATACAGGGTTGCTATGAGTCGGAACCAGCTCAACAGCACTTAACAACATATGCGATAAAAAACATCCAGTTCTTCATAATTTAGAGTAAAGGAACATAACTTTTTTGGAATGTGTGAGTCTAACTTTTCTTACGTGCTTTCTTCTTTTTTGTAGCTATGGTGAAACAAGACACAGCTTCCTTAACTGATGTCGTAGAGCAAGCTGCAAAGCAACAACAGTCACAAACATCAGAAATAGAAAAAACCAAGAAAGTTCTGTTCCATTTGCAGGTAACGTATTTCATACAGTATTTTAAATGAGTCGTTATTTTTGTAAAAACTAAATTAAGTTAGTGCCAAGGTAGTTATTTTCTTAAATAACTAAATTAAATTAGTGCCAATGTAGTTATTTTTTTAAAAAAACTAAATTAAGTTAGTGCCAGGGTAGTTATAAGGATACTTAATATTGGGATGCAATTTTAAATTTGTATGTTTCATATTTACTCTAGTAATTCTGTTATCTCTAAGAAAAATCAATGTGATTTTAATATTATACAGTTTCATGGGACATTTTATGCTACCAATGTACAAACATTCAGTGATTTTATTGACTGTTATTATTGCTGTTCAGTGCCTTCTAGTTGGTTCTGAACCATAGCAACCCTGTGTAGGGTTTTCATGGATTGTCATACAAGCATGTAAAACCCAAAATCTACGTAACAAAGTACATGATAAAGGCATTCATAATGGTTTTACATCAGCTTTTATTTGATAGGTTTGTTTGTTTGTTTTTCAAAAAATACTGAATTGAAGAAAGGTTAAGTTTTTATGTCAGCGGTTTTAAAGATGCAGCTTCTGAGTTAAAACTTATCAGTGACCGTTTCAAGTAGCCTTCCTCTGTATTCTCCACATTTCATAACAACATGTCCATAATTGCACTGCAGGGAATCTGGAAGCCATACTTGGTCATTCATGCAGGGTAATGAAATCTAACTATACTCACTGAAAGGAGCCATAGTGATCCAGTGCTTAAGTGCTAGGCTGTAAAATGAAAGGTTGGTGGTGGAGAAGGATGTGGCAGTCAGCTCCCATAACGATATTGCCTTGGAAACCCTATCATGCAGTTCTATAGCATCACTATGACTCAGAATCAATTGACTACAATGAATTTTTGCATAATCTGTGACTATAGCTGAAGAAACCAAAATTGAAACAGTATTGTCACTGTGTGCTTCGTAAAGGTAATCAGTAAATGTTGTTGTTGTTGTTATTATGTCTTGTGGAGTCGGTTCCAACTCATAGAGACCCTGTACAGGGTTTCTGAGGCTAAAAATCTTTACGGGAGCAGAAAGCCTCATCTTTCTCCCATGGAACAGCTGGTAGTTTTGAACTGCTGACCCTGAGGTTTGCAGCCCAATTCATAACCACTACACTACCAGAGCTCCTTAAATACATGTTATTAAAACAAGCTCTGGAGCCAACTACTTAGTTTCAAAGATCGGACTTGCTTCTCCTAGCTCTGTAAATTGTCTGTGCTTCTGTTTCCTCATTTGTGTTGTTGTTAAGTGACGTAGAGTCGGTTCCGACTGATAGCAACTCTATATAGGGTTTCTGAGGAGCAGCTGGTGATTTTGAACTACTGACCTTGTGGTTCAAACTGATCTTGTGGTCCAGTGTTCACCTGACAACACCAGGATGTGTCAAAAAGATTTTCATGAGATTTAATTAATTAATACTTGCAAATATATATAAAGTACCCTTGCTGGGAACTGGGTAGACAGCATGATGGTAGCGGTGATGTACTGTGGAGTCAGTTCCAACCCATAGCGACCCAGTATAGGGTTTCCAAGGCTGTGACTCTTTACAGGAGAAAGCCTCACCTTTCTCCCACGGAACAGTTTGTGGATCTGAATTGCTGACCTTGCAGTTTGCAGACACTGCATAATCCACCAGGACTCCTGGTAGACAACATGAAGTCAGATTTTTATATCAGCTTTATGTATAAGTGTAAGATATGATGATAGTGATACTACTATGATATTATGGATTTCTTATAAATATTTGAATTGCATTAGTCTCTTTTAAGAAAATACATTTATACAATACCATATTGTTGTGTTCTTAGGTGCTGTCTAGTTGGTTCCAACTCCTAGCGACCCTGTACTGTATAGGGCTTCTAAGGAGCAGCTGGTAGATTTGAACTATTGATTTTGTGGTTCACAATCCAGTGATGATCCTAGAGCGCCACACAGGAGTCCATATAATACAGTAGAATAAAAAAAAATAATAATGTCTTTCCAAACTCACTGCCATCAAGTCAATTCTGATGATAACAACTCTAGATAGGAATGACTGAGACTGTAAATCTTTGTGGGAGCAGATACCCCACTAGCAGAGCAGCATGGTTAGCAGTGCAGTACTTACTGATGTCTTAGATTTCTGTAAAGAAATTTTGTGGAAAGGTCTCCATTTTCAAAGGGTTTCAAAGACATCATTTCATTTATATTTATATTTAGGCCCTACTGCTAAGCATTTTGCTAGTCACTGTCCTTATTCTTACATTGCTCATCATCTTTTGGGAAAGGCGACAAAAAACTCAGTAATGACTTACAGAGTAATAATAGGGATGATAGATGCATAAATCCAACACAGATTTAACACTGATAGCCGAGTGACCACAAAGGAAGGGTCCTCGCATTTGAGTTTTAAAGCACAGCTGGAATTCACATGAATAATTGGGTATCTGGGACAGGTATAAGGATTAAGTGGTGAGGAAGAGAACATTCAAGACAGAGAGAACCTGAGAAAATGTATAAAGACCTGAGATAGCATTGGCACATTCACAGAAATGTAGGAGTTTAGAGATGGCATTGCTAAGGGTGCATTTTGAAAAGTGATGAGAGATGTATATCATGATAAGAAACTTATAGGAAGTCTTTAAGCAAGAGAGCAAGCAAGTACATTTATGTTTCAAAAAAAAAGAGAATTAGAAATGTTTAAAAAGCACTTGAAAAACCCCAAGATTCATTATAAAAACTCTCAGGAAATTAGGAATAGCAGTTTAAAGTAGGACATTATCACAGATTGAATTGTATCTCTTCTTCCACAGTGTGTGTCAGCCTGGCTGGGCCATGATTTTCAGTGGTGTGGTAATTGTCTATGATGTAATGTAACAATCATGTCATGGTGTAATCATCCCCCCTGTTGTGACCTGATGGCTCAGCTCTGATCTAATCTAAGGGGATTAGGCTGGGATGCAACATCCTTACTCAAGTCACAGCTCTGATTGGATGTAAGGGGAATTTCCCTGGGGTGTGGCTTGCATAATATTTTAGCTTGCAAGAAATAATCAGAGAGAGAAGCAGAGAAGCAAATAGAAACAGAAGGATCTACTTCTACTAAGAAAGAAGAGCTGGGAGCAGACCACATCCTTTAGGTCCAGGGAGACTCTTAGACCTAGGACAAGACTGATGCCAAGACACATGGAGTTCTCCAAGAAATGCCAAACTCAGATATTGAAAGAAGACTAGAACATTCCCCCAGAGCCAACACAGAAAGCCTTCTCTTAGAGTTGTTGTTCCTGTTGTTGGTAAGTGCTATCGAGTCAGTTCTGACCCACTGTGACCCTGTATAGAGTTTCTGAGGAGCAGCTGATGAGCTTGAACCATCAACCTTTCAGTTCAAACCAACTTTGCAGTCCAGCGCATTAACCCGCAGCACCACACCAGGACTTTGGAGCCCTTAATTTGGACCTGTAGCCTCCTGTGGTGCTTCGGGTTAATGATCTGGTCTGCAAGGTCAGTCTGAACCACAAGGTAGGTGATTCAAGCTCACCAGCTGCTCCTTGGGAACCCTACACGGGGTCGCTATGGGTGAGAACCGACTCAAGATATTTAACAACAACAACAAACTATAAGAGAATCTATTTGTTTGTTAAAGTTACCCACTGTGGTATTGCTGTCATAGTAGCAGCATAAGATAAGGAAGACAAGCATCTATAAGAATCTCATGCCAACCTAATACTTAATGTTATGTGTCATTGAGACAGTTCTGACTCAAAACAAACCTATGTGGGGTTTCTAAGGGAACCCCATACTTAATAGTGAGAGACTAATGCTTCCTTCCTAAGGTAAAGAACAAGGCAAGGATGTCTGAGTTCACTACTTCTCTTCAAGATGGTCCTGGAGTTTCAAACCAATCCAATCATTCAAGAAAAAGAAATCAAAAGGACCCCGGATTATATAAGAAGGAGTAAAACTGCTTTCATTCACAGATGTCATGATTATCCTTAGAAAAAACTAAGGAATGTACAAAAATGTTCTTAGGACTAATAAGTAAATTTGGAAAGGTTACAGGATACAGTGTCAATACATAAAAGTCAGTTGTATTTCTACATACTGACAGGGAACAATCAAATTAAAATGTTAAAGGCAAAACTATAATAGAATCAAAAGTATTTAGTGCCACGGTGTGGTGCTGTAGGGTCAGCACTGGACTGAAAACCACAAGGTCATCAGTTCAGAGCCACTAGCTGTGCCTTGGATACCCTATATAGGGTCTCTGTGAGTCAGAACCAACTCAATGGCACTTAACAACAACAGTCTTAAAAGCTTCCAAGCAGTCATCCAAGCTACAATGACAAGTGTGCATTTAACTGGAGTAACAGAGGAAGGGGAGTCCTGGTGTGGCACTGTGGGTTAATGCACTGGACTGAAAAGTCCTTTGAATCACAAGTCAGTGGTTCAAGCTCACCAGTCACTCCTTGGAAACCCAACTCAACAACATTTCACAATAACAGTTGGTTGGGTATGCATCCCTCTTCTGACCATTCCAGGTGCATCATTCCCTCACTTATTTAATAAATGTTTATTGAACACCTGTTTGGCACTAGACACTATTTAAGCCCTGGGAAAATAAGGTAAGTTTCCTGAATTTATAATCAGCAGAAAAGCAATAAATAAGTGAGAAGAACACAATTTCAGAGATGGTTGTGTTACCAAGAAAATGTTGTTGTTGTTATGTGCCATCAAGTCGATCCCAACCCATAGCGACCCTGTATAGGGTTTCCAAGGAGCGTCAGGTTAGCTTGAACTGCCAACCTTGCGATTCAAACGACTTTGCAGTCTGGCACATTAACCCACAGCACCGTGACCCTGTACGGGGTTCCTGAGGCTGTAAATCTTTACGGGAGCAGAAAGCCTCATCTTTCTCCTGCGGAACAGCTGGTAGTTTCGAACTGCTGACCTTGAGGTTCACAGCCCGATTCGTAACCACTATGCTACCAGAGCTCCTTATAATAGGGTAAATTAATAAAGAGTAACTGGGCCAGGAAGGTGGTCAGCTAATTTATATGTTTGATGCTGAAGTATAAAGAAAGAGGAAGTCTTCTGGTGAGTTCTCATAAAGCACAAGTGTGAAAGACAAGGCTCAACAGGTAACAACTAGGGATGGGGACTTCTCAGGCAGAGGGAATGGTAATTACAGAAGTCTTTAGGAGGGAAGGATCTATGCATACTTGAACATAAAGGAGGCTGGCATAGGGGACAGTAGTAGAAGCTGAGATGGACAGCAAAGTAGAGAGGGACGAAAGCCTATATGGTCACAAAAGCCACATTCATTAGTTTATAAGTGCAGTTGGAAATCTTTGGAGGATCCATGCTACAAAGTTTTGTCAGAAAACCTTGAGATTTTATTTGGGAGACATACCCACCAGTATTTGCTAGTTAGTAGGTTGTGGGAGAAAAGAGAGTGGGAGGAATCAACAATGACTTCTAACTTTTTGAACGTTCAAGTGGAAAGTGGTTCAGTTTATGAAAAACAAGAAGACTGGGGGAGGAGCGGCCTTTGTGTGTAAATTAACTGTTCTTTTCCAAACATGTATAGTTGAGATGTCTATTGTATCCAAAGAGAAATTTCAAGCAGCTATTTGAAGTTTCAGACCTGGGGACAGAAATCACGGTTCATCCACACACTGCGTTTGTCTGCATATTCGCCTTTCTCATCTCTGCCTGGGAAGGAATAGGCAGGAGCTGCCTTCTTATCATAGTGCCTGCCCCTCAAAGTGATGTAAAATGACTTTAAAGAGGATAGCTTAGCTTGATAGAAAAAAGACTAATGGAGGATGAATTGCAGTTATTTTGATGAGTAGATTTATAAACTATGATTAATATATTAATATTATAATAAAGTATGATACATGTATTGGTATGTTGTTGTTGTTGTTGTTGTTATGTGCCGTGGAGTCGGTTCCGACTCATAGTGACCCTGTACAGGGTTTCTGAGGCTGTAAATCTTTATGGGAGCAGAAAGCCTCATCTTTCTCCCGCGGAACCTCTGGTAGTTTCGAACTGCTGACCTTGAGGTTGGCAGCCCGACTCGCAACCACTACGCTACCAGAGCTCCTTATGTATCGGTATAGATAACAATAAAAGAAAAAATGTTGAGTTATGAATTAATGTAATGATTTTGAACATAACAAATTATGGATAACATTGTAAAGAATGGGAATTCCAAGATACTTAATTGTGCCCCTGAGGCAGTCATTTGACCAGAACAAGGGGATGCTGCATGGTGTAAAATCAGGTGGGCATCAGGGTTGTATCCTTCCATGGTACTTGTTCAATCTCTACACTGAGCATATATCCTACGAAGCTGGACCTTATGAGGAAGAACATGGCATCAGGTTTGAGGAAAGACCCCTTAACAACCTGTGATATGGAGATGACACTGTCTTGCTGAAATCAAGGGGACTTGAAGCGCTTGCTGATGAAGATCTAATCCTCATTAGAGGATTAGATACAGGGAGAAAAGATTGATGTCATCAAGGATTTCTTTGTACTTGGATCCACAAACAAAACTCATAGTAGCAGCAATTTGGCATCAAATGATATATTGCACTGTGCAAATCTGCAACAGACGACCCTTTTAAAATGTTGAAGACCAAGGATGTACTTTGAGGACTAAGTATGCCTGACTCAAACCATAGACTTTCAATCAGCTCATATGCACAATGACTATGGAAGATGAGAGAAAAATTGATACATTGGAATTATGGTGTTGGTGAAGAACATTGAATATACAGGGATTGCCAGAAGAACAAACAAGTCTGTCTGGAAAGAAGGACAGCCAGAATGCTGCTTAGAGGCAAGGATGGCAAGACTTTGTCTCATGTACTTTGGATGTGTTATCAGGGGGAATTAGTTCCTGGAAAAGGACAGAGGAAGACCCTCAACAAGGTGGATTGACATAGTGACTTGAATGACGGGCAGGTAACATAACAGTGAGTGTGAGGATGATGCAGGACCTGGCAGTGTTTCGTTCTGTTGTCATAGGGTCACCATGACTTAGAACTTCCTGGACAGTACCTAACAACAGCAACAACATAGATAATGAAGTAACTGCTATTTGCTGAAGAGTTGACTCCGACTCGTGTGTCAACAGAGTAGAACTGTTCCAAAGGAGTTTCAAAACTGTGACCTTTTGGAAGCAGATTGCCTAGCCTTACTGCTGAGGTGCCTCTGGGTGGGTGTGAACCAACAACCTTTCAGTTAGGTGTTGTTGTTGTTGTTAAGCATCATCGAGTCATTTCCAACTCATAGCTACCCTGTGTAGGGCTTCCAAGGAACGGCTGGTGAGTTTGAATGGCTGGTGAGTTTGAACCTTACAGTAAGCAGTCCAGTGCTTATCTACAGCACCACACCAGTACCCCATGTTTGGGAATATAGGAGTGTGGTAATTTGCAATTTTAGTCTCATTTCTGAATTCCTTCTTATATCCACATCCTTTACTGTCCCATGGTGGGTAGATATACTTGCTAATCCCTTAACTATGAGCATACCTGGGATGCTAACAGATGTGACTCCAACTCTTCTGCATCTGTATCATCATGAGAATGATATGTCTGTGCTGGCCCAATAGAGGATAAGATACACTTCAGGCCAAGCCAAGCCCACTCGAAGCCAAACTGGCAGTCAGCCCACCAACCTCCAGATAGTAGAACGAACACAAGCAAGAGCGGCAGAATCACCTAGTAACTCTAGCTGTTCCCAGTCATGTGAGCAATACCTATTGTTTCAGGTTTTATGATGTGGCAGCAGAGAAGTAATGCAAGGGGGAACAGGTTTCTGAGACAGGGACTTAATTTGATTCTTAGACATGATTAATTTGAGATGTCCAGTGGCATGTGGGTCTATAACTCAACAGCTACTTACTTACTCTGAGGATCCTCAGTATATTTATCTAGGAACTGAACTGCTAGGTGTCAGAGTAGCCAATTGAAACAGTGGACCCAAATGAAAGTAATCTTTAAGCATTTAGTCACTTACTGCAATCATAATAAGCAAGAGATTAAACCTGAAAAAGATGCCAGCATCCCCGACCCTTCTGTGTTTCCCCAGAAATGGCACCTGGACAAGGGCCAGGTGGATCAGCACCGATGTGGATAGCCGTCTCACTGCCAACGGTCCCTGAACACAGACCTCCTGAGTTTCATGGACCTCAGGGACCTGGAGGAGAGCGAGGAGGAGGGGTCAGCTGGGGAACCATTTTGAGTTTGGAGGAAGTACCTTCATGGTCATTCCCCCCACCACACATTCTGCCTGAGAAGGAGCCTTCAGCAGGGGTGCTAGAGGAAGGTATCTGGAAGGGCCTCCAAGAAAGATTGCTGCCTAGGCTAGGATTGATTGCAGATATGCAAAAGAGAATGAATGGCTGGAGGCCTTGGTTGATGCACCAAGTCTGATGGGAGAGGGCAGCTTCCTCCTGAGGCCTGCCCAGATAAGCCTTTGTCATCACCTGTGGTCAGGCCTGAAAGATCACACTTCTGTTTTTTGGCTTGGAGCCTGACTCCACAGTATATATAGCTCAGGATGCGAATATAGATGAAATTGCCCAATGATTAGATATAGAATAATAAGAGAAAATGATGTGACTGAACCCTGAGGAAGAGCTATATTTGAAGAGTCGAGATTGAGAAGGAATGTTCAGAAATATCTATGAAGAACTAGAGAAGACTGGCAATGTCTAGATTAGGTTTTAATCAGGACACACTGCTTAGTAATGTAAATGGTCCCCAGAGGCAAGCTAGAAAACCTTAGACTTAGTTTACAAATGAAGAAAGTGAGGTTTGGATAAGGTCATTGACTTTGTTATGCGTGATCATTATAACCAGTAAATTGTTGTTGTTGTTGTTGTTGAATGCCATTCAGTTGATTCCGACCCATAGTGATCCTGTATAGGATTTCCAAGGAGTGACTGGTGAGCTAGTAAATAGCAGTAAAGAAACTAGCTACAACCTTGGTCCTTTGACTCTTATCTAGTAGGACTTTATCATGTCTTATATTACTGGATTTTTTCAGAAAATGTTTTTCTGATGCACAAAGAATATTAAAATCATTGCACATTGTATTTTGCATATAAAATATTAAGACAATAATATAATTCTAATATTTAGAAATAAATGAATATTGAAAAATAAGAACTATATAACTGGGCTTTTTCTAAGCTTATAAAATGATTTTGTTACTTTATCGAATGTTTCCTTCTATTATCCACTGATTTTTCTATATCCGATAACTATACATTTTTTATGCTAAGCATTTTTCCTGCATATATTACAGATCAAAACATGACTTTCCTTTCATGTTTAATATCACGAATTAATAATGATAATATCGATATGTATTACAGAATGAACTTCATGAGCTTGAAAAACAAATAGCATCTGTCTCCACCGAAACTAAAGAAACAGAAAGACAAATTTATCAGCAAGATGCTGCCATAGAGAATACCAAACTTCAGTGCAGAAGCCTGGAAGCCCAAATCAAATCCTTACATACAGAAAATGTAAAGCTTAAATTTGACATAGAAGCAGCCCAAGAAGATTTTGAGCAAGACCTGATAAGATATAATGCCTATTATGCAAAAATCAAAACACATGAAGATAGTTTGGGACAGATAGAAAGCAAATTCATGACTGAATTCCATGAAAAACAAGATCTTGTGAAACAACTAAGGACAATAAAAGAGGAGCTCATGGAAAATCTCCAAAATCCAGAAGGAAACCGGATAAAGCAAGTACAGGTTTGAGATACCATTTATCAAAAAACATTTTATTAAATGATACATTTCTCATTAAATTAACAAAATACCCATAACTCCTCTGCTTTCAGAAACTATTTTCACTATTTTAAAATCTTGGACATGTAAATTAATTATGTAGCAACTGTGCCAAATATGCTAATGCTTAAAGGAGACATCCCCAAGTCGCCTGTAGATTTATTAAAATATGTAGTCAAACAAAATCACAGTGAACAATTAATCCATTAGATTCAGAAAGTGTGACTCATAAAAATATTAAAGCACTAGCTTCTAGGCTAATGGATCCAGACCAATTCAAATTAATTTAGTATGCCTAATGCTGTTATGCAAACATTATGAATTAATAATTGCACTTTAAGCATCTTTCTATTTCTCCTTCTAGACTTGAAAACAGTGGGAGATAAAAAATTAAAATATCTATCTTTTTTTGCTAGAGAATTTAAAAAAATATCCTTTATGCTGTTGCTGGGCAGTTGCTAGCATGACAACCACTTTCCTTTGTGTGTTATTTATTTTCAGTTGGATTTTAGTTCTAAGTTTTTAGAACTAAGCTTTGTTTGTTTGAATGACAGTTCTTTATTCTGTATACCTAAAAATAGAAGTAATATCCACATCCTATTTATCAAAATTAAATGTGATGACTAGTTTTCTTAAATTATAGAAACACTAAAAACCTTAGATTTCTATTGGTTGTTCCTTGTTTAACTTGTATATTTAAAAATTTTAAATATACAGGAAGACATTAGAGAGCTGAGTGATAAAATTAGAGCCATAAAAGAATCTATCACTGGAAAAAGTTGTTTTCTTGAGAAAGAAGAAAAAACTCATGAAAAATTAAGAAAAGAAATAGAGGTAAGTTTATTATCTGGATTTCAGTGTTTTATGTGCCCATTTCTTAAACTTACATTATTTGTTCCCATAGCTTATTCTTAATTCTCAAAACAGATACAAAACAAAAATAGTACAAAAAGTAATGTTGTTAAGTGCCATCAAATCAATTCTAACTCATAGTGACCCTGTATAGGGTTTCCATGGAGCAGGTGATGGGTTTGAACCACCAACCTTTTGGTTAGCAGACCAGTGCTATTCCTACAGCACCACACTAGGACTTACCCGTCCAAATCATTGACAGATATAAGTACCTCATTCAGAGATATTCAAATAAAGCAATTATTTGCTGCTATCTC